CTAGTAGCGATGCCGGGAGCCCCTAGTAGCGTCCTTGCTCCTAGTAGTAGTAGTAGTAGTAGTAGTAGTAGTAGTAGTAGTAGTAGTGGTAGTGGTAGTAGTAGTAGTAGTAGTAAGGCCAGGAGCCCCTAGTAGCGTCCTTGCTCCTAGTAGCGATGCCTTTTGTTCCTAGTAGCGTCCTTGTTCCTAGTAGTATGGCCAGGAGCCCCTAGTAGCGTACTTGCTCCTAGTAGCGATGCCCTTTGTTCCTGGTTAATTTTTGAGGCCCGCTCTGATTTTCCTTCTAGCTACTTAAATATCTTAAATCTACTTAAGCTACTACCGCTGGACACAGGATAGCTCACGCCTGAGGGTGGGGGGAGCTTCCTTGACGAAGCGCTCGCACTATTTATGTTTGTTCCTAGATGTGTGTTTTGTTAAATGCAACTGCGTAAAGAAGGTCCACGTTTCCGCACATTCTGTCTCAGTACACCCTGAAGCTCCCCGACTCCGTCCTCGGGAATCTGCGGCCAACGCAAAAGTGTCTGAAGCCTTTGATGTAACCAAGAGCACCATTGCAGAAAGGAAGCAGTTTCCATGTCCAGTAGAAACACTACATGGCATGATGTTGAACTGTTGCTTGCAGCAAAAGTTGACCGAACACCATCTACTATGCAAATCAGAGACAGGCGCATTGATCCATCCAAGTCCTAGCAATCTTGAGGCAGCACAGATTCTCACAGGTAGAATGATGATCCTCCAGCAGACCAACGAACATCAGCTTGTGGTAGTTCTGAACCGCCTCAATACTTTGAACAAAAAAATATGATCAAAGCAGATCTCATGAATCACATGAATCACATGACAAGAGAACCCAAAACAGATCCGAAGGGGACCTGAAGTGTGTGACGACGACGAAAAGCAGCAAAAGGAACAGCAGAAAGAGAAGCGGCAGCAAGAGGAGGAACGCAGCAAAAAGAGAAGGAAGGCAGCAAAAAGAGGAGAAGGAGCAGGTGGAACATGGAGAAGCTACTAGGGGCTCCTGGCCTTACTACTAGGAGCAAGAAGCTACTAGGGGCTCCTGGCATCGCTACTAGCAGCAAGGATGCTATAGGGGCTCCTACCGCCGCCCCAACCTACGAAAAATAACAGCGGCTGACAGGCCATGTGGAAGTTTGACGGAAACAAAATGGCCAGGTGCCCTTTCCTCAAGTGTTCAATCCACTACAAAGACTCCAAACTGTGACTGAAGGCCCGCACGCGTTGCAAGGTGGCCGTGCGATTCCTGTAGCAAGGAGTGTCTTTGCACACTGAAGCATCTTAAAGCCTGCTGCCAAGCATCTTGCCATCATTTACAGGTTTCCAGCAGTTTTGCATGGGGTACTAGAACCTTTTGAGATTCGGCATGACCAAGAGCACAAGTTGCCATTGCCCCCAGTGCCAAAATGTGTCCAAGCGTCCGATAGAGTGCCCAAAGTCGCTGGTCATCTGCTTGGCGCCTGGCAGTCTGCTCCAATTTACGGCTGAATGAACATGGAGAAGCTACTAGGGCCAGGGGCTCCTGGCATCGCTACTAGCAGCAAGGACGCTACTAGGGGCTCCTACCGAGCACAGCTGTCGATCCCAGCGTGGTACATCCCCCTTTCGTCCCTCCCTTTCCTCACCTGGTCGATCCGGCACCCACATGCACCGAATGCCCAGCCAACCAGGCAGTACCCGCCATCCCATCCTCGACGCGTTGTAGCGGGCCGAAGCAAGGAGTGTGGTCGAATCAAGTGGAGAAGAAAGAATATCGGATGCATTGTTCATGAAAACCACAGCCCAAAATGGGGGGAGAAACGACTGCAAGTTTCCTGGCTCATCAACTATGATCTGTCCTAGATAGAAAAGGAAAACTATCTGACTCCCTGACACCCATCCTGCCAAACCATAAGTGTGTCAAGCAAGGCTGCTGGGTGGTGAAGGTACCTCGCAAGTGCATTTTGTTCAGCTTTGATGTTTCTTCCATCTTCGACGTCTTCTTCGCTTTTCCTCAGATGGGCACTGGGCAGGGCGCAGCCGCCGCACATGCAATCTGGAGGTCCAGTCCAGGTTCCGTGCCTCGGTGCACACGGCGCGCCGCATCGGTGCCGTTCACGACCCTGGGCCGAGCGGCATAGTAAAAGTGGGACCTGAGGACTTGGAGTTTTCCAGGAACCAAACAACGTAGCTGCGACAATCGCTGACTCAGGGCATCGCAAGAAGCGCTGCACTGGGCTCCGGAACATTGCAAGTCCTGGATGTTCAACAAAGCTAGGTGAAGCAAATGTAAATACAGTACACACAAATCACAATGGTACTCAAGGAAACAAAGAACTGAACCAAAGTGAACGAAGTGGATGCACTGGATGCATAGCACACCAGTCCTAGCAGCCGAACCGGCAAAAACTGCATGTGGTAGATCAAGGAAAAAGCAAAATGAAGCGTGCCTCAAGTGATCGGTCTTTCAAAACATGTCTCTGAAGATGTCAAGAAATGAAAATCTATGCTTGAAAACGACTCGATCTGTTTACTAGTAAAACAGGTGCAAATCACATGTGAATGCAGCTTCGTTGCACAAGCAAGGTAACGCAGAAGCCTCTCAATCGCAATGGGACAAAGGTCTTTGATAGCTTGTTTCAGAAAGAGATTTGGATGGATGGATGGATGGATGGATGGATGGGCCAATTCCATACCAAATGATTCGTCTTCAATGCTGACTACTAGTAATGCACTTGTTACTGTACTACTACTAGTAATGCACTTCTTACTAGTAGCTTCTCGTTACTCTATCTGCAGAACCACCACACGTTCCATACAGAGTCAAAAGAACCAAGCAAACAACATCTTGACCATCCAAACAGCGATGTCCAATGCACCACTCAATTGTCTTGTTGTGATTTGCAGTGGCAAGCTCCATAAGTCGCGGCATCTGCTTCGGCCGTGACGTGACGTTTTTCTTTGCCGCTCTCAGACTTGAATGAATCGCTGGATGAAAACCAATCAGTCAGCCTCTGCTGAATCTTCCTTGGTAGACCCCCTGATTCGTTTCTGCTGGATTTCGACATGTGTGTTCTTCTCCACGGTTCAGTCTTCTCAAGTCTGCTGATGTCTGCCGCCTGCAACTCCCAGGCCAAATGCCCACCCGGCACCATCCCAACAGAGCCATGTTCCAAGGCATGCCTGGCACCCGGCATTGCAGCGGAAGGTGCTTCGTGTATGCTCACATTCTCGGCAATCAAAGGAGATATCCAAAGAAGCAAAAGTTTGCTCCTAGCTAGGACGCAGCTGCGCTGCGCTTTGGCTTCGCATCGAATCCCACCTCTTCTCGTAGGTCCAGTGCAGGCGTCCCACCGAGAAGTTCGTGACCTGCAAGCTGAATTGCGATGGACAAACCAATGTGTCAAGCGAAGAAAGCGGCTATGAAGGATAGCTTGCATGGCTTACACATATATAATTGCGGCCAAGCAGCGTTCACAGGTTTGTCCTGAAACAATCTTGTATTTTGTCTTTGCCAAGCAATAACCATGGGGCTGCGGGACATTGCATCGATGTTCTCAATGACAAAATCTAGCCAAACTGGATTGTATAAGCGAAGAATAGTCTTGGCTGGTTCACCCAACCTTACCTCACCAAGTTGATCCAAGTTGCCTGCCATTCCTCTGGAAAGCTTGGACGGAAGCGAACAGCACGGCAACCTGGTATCACTTGCAGATTCGATCAAAAAGCTCAACGAAAGGCACGGGCGAAATGAAATGGACAGAACATGAAAGAAAGCCTGCAATGCCAGGCCCTCGTTGCAATACCTCTCTCAAGGCTGTGCCACCGCTTTTGGAGATGTGCAAGAGGAATGCCAGACCACTGGAGTTGGTCGGCCAGCGTGGAACGCAGCTGCCATCTGCGGAAGAGGAGCTTGACTCAAAAAAGTTGGACAGGCTGACAGACTTGGACTTGTTTAAAGAAAAAGACCATGAATATCCTTGAATGGATTGCGTGAGAAGAAACAAGGGGTGTGGTTTGCAAAAGGTTAACCCAGTCTCATGCTCTGGCTGCTTCAACACCCTCAACACTTGCTCTCCTGTCTGAGCAAGTCTAAGCTAATCGAAAGGAGTCGTCATCGGAACCTAATTGGTCAGATCGGGTTCATAGGATCGGAATCTGATTGGTCAGATCGGAATCGCAGGAGTGACGGGCGCGTGCTCGGCAACACCATCCCCACCATCCCGACCATCCCGACCGTCATCCTCACTGTTGTCACGCAGGTCTCATCCATCCCGACCATCCCGCACAAACGCCTTGTCGACGCTGATCCCTTCTAACGCTGATTCGGCGAAGTCGTATAAAACTATTCCTACTGTCGTTCTAACTGGCTGTGCACGGACCGTCCCGATCATCCCGACCGTCCCGACCATCCCGACCGTCCCGCTAGAATCTGATCCTACGATGCTGATCCGGCCAATTAGAATCTGATCCCAGACGGTGATCCCTGACGCTGATCCGGCAAAGTCGAATCTGATCCGGCAATTACCCGCAATGTCAAGGCTTTGCATTTTATACACTTTCTCGAGGACAGGGACACCGCCACTTTGCACCCCGAGCCGTAGTGCACTTCTGGCTGCAAAGGAGGCAGATTGTGGTGGCTCTCTCGAAGAAGCCTGGCTGCTGGTGTCTCTAGATCTCAAGAGTTGACTCAAGAGACAACTCATGTTTTCCTTGTGTCGGCCCTTCATCCCGCGTGGTGAGTATCTTATGCGTAATGTGGCCAGCCTGCGGAAGGCAAAGACACTACTGGCAGCCTGCCGAACACGCGGCTGCCTGGCAACTGGAAATGGCGAGCATTTGCAGGCGCGGATCTTTTCCTGATTGATTCGCTTTTGGGGTCCACACCTTTCAAAGAAAAGCCGCCCGGCTCCTCGAGTACACAATCAGATTCATCTTGTATAAGTAAAGCAAAAAGAAATCACGTTGACCTTATCCCCAGGAGAATTTCTCAAGTCGCTCATTCTAAGCCATTAGGTGGCCTCAGAGACAAAATCTGAACACATCTTCAAGCCATCTGGTAAGCTTAAAACTAATCTTAATTTGCTTCTTCAAAACCTCCATTCTTGAGCCAGACCAGCCATACCCTTCCTTGTCGACTCTCCCTTGCCCTGACCACCGTGACATCACTTGCAGCCGCGGCAGCATCGGCACGCCAAAGAAGCTGCCAGGCCTTTCGACCTCTTGGGTGAAGTTTTGAGAAACATCCAGAAAAGCCCTTCTTTTTTCATTCTATATCCTCAATCATCCCAAATGACTCGTGAAACACGTCTGTCTCCTTGTTCTGAAAACTGCTCTCAACATGATGCAAGCCCCTGTGGCGCAGGTCCGGCCTTCCTGCCCTTCCTCTCCTCGCACCAAAAGGGCCACACATAGTGCAGAGCTCAGCACCCAACCATGGTGCATGGATCATGGCGAATACGTGACAGGTGACAAATCACAGAGGTCAGCTATGGTCTTCCCGGGAACCTGCTCACACGCACATACCTTCAACTAGCAGTGACTATCAGTCTTATATAAGTTGAGAGAAATGAGGCTGTTGGATTGCAACAGTGGTAAGCTAGCTTCCAGGTTGGAGGCCTAGTAGATTGGAGGCCATTGCTTTTAGAGTTCCCTTTGCATGTTCGTAGGTTGGAGGCCATCGTCACAAGACGATGCTGTCAGGCTGTCAGTTTGGCTTCAGCCGAGCTGTGTGACGCATTCAATCAAAAGCAAGAGGGTGGATCCAATCAGACCTTCTATATAGCATGTATTTGTACCTCTATGTAAATGTATGGGGTGGCGGACAAGTCCTGTGAATCTATTTCAAGCGTAATTGTTTTGTCTGTCTATGTTTGAAGTCAGAGCATCCTACACGGTCCCACTTTGTTCCGCATGACCCCTCTGAAGACTTCACAGAAAGGGAATCGAGCTCCCACTGGCAACTGCAGGCTCAACTGTCTTCAGCAACGGCAAAGCAGGGCCCGCACTTGGCGAAATTCTCTGGCCACGGACCTCAATTGTTCCGTTCTTTTGCATAGGGGGCACTGTCGAAAGTCCCACCTTGAGACAAGAACGTTCCTGACAAGCTCACACCACCAGGTGGGACGAATATCGTTTCTGCATTCAGAGATTGTACTTTGATGTCCTGATATTATTGCCCCAAGTATATTGTTTGCACCAAGCTTATGCGGTCTCTATAGAGACCCCTGTGATGGTGAGCTGATCCACTGGACGCTCGGCAAAAGTACGGACCCCACCAGGTTTCTCATAGCTCTCGTCCACCTCAACGCAGGACAGGCAAATGAATGGCGCACAACTCTCCAAAGAGCCCGGGAAACTTACTGTAAGTTGACGGACGCAGCATCTGAATCATCTCCAATGCCAAGTCATGGGGATTCAAAACAAAGCCGCAAGCCCCAAAGTGTGAAGGGCCCCAAAAGGAGAATGACTCAGTCCGCCACTGAGCGCATTGAAGTCCAATGGAAGTCTTGGATGTCGCCTGAAAACAGTTGATGAAGAAAGCATAAGGCATATGGATCCGATCTGTCTATGCCGTTTTATTAGAACGAGTTTGTGTTCAAGAAAGCCTCCCAACATGACTGCGGTTTTCGCATTACTTCACAAGCAAACCATGACTGCATTTGTTGAATTCGACGCAAAAAATCTGCTTCCAGGCTGGCCTGGCCAAAGAGGTGCACCAGACCCCTGCAAAGGAGAAGTGGAACATGTCAAGGACGGCGAAGAGGTTCTTTCTCAAGAAAGGTACAGTATTCATTCAGTGTCCCCCAAACTCCTGGTTGACATGTGGAAATTGGCAAGACCTGCAAAACCCGCCATGCGTTTGATTGTTACAGGAATGGAAATGAATCATCCTGTTGTCGCATCCGAGCAGTACCGGCTTTTGAAGCTGTCCGCTTGGGCCTGATGTTGAAAAGTTTGAGCTGGACGGTCCGGACGGTGGACAGTGACAACTTCCTGCGGAATAAACATCGCAAATTCTGCCAGTACAAGATAGTACATGTCAGTCAGCCTTAGCTAGATTGAACATTGACCTGGAGCGGCAGGCGCAAAAACTATTCTCTTTTGTAGACGGTGGACGTCCTCCTCAGACACATCAGTATAATGGAAATCCATCTCAGGCACCTTTCACAAGTCACAAGTTTTCCCTCCAACACTTCCAGCCTGATTCTACGTTCCCTCTTATTTCCTCAAGCCTTTTTGGTCTTGACTCTCTGTCTCTCCGTGGGTCTATTCCACGTCACTCCCCTCATGTTTCACTGAGAAGCAAACGAGTGGAGCTGAATCTGACCTGGGCTTGGAAATCCATGAACAGGTGTCAGTATCAGACAAATCATGACCACAGTGGAACAGATTTGACAAAGCCATGAGGGAACTGCACCATTCCAGCAAAGATGTGGCTTTGTTCAGGGAAAGGTGGGAGAAAGTCTAATGAATGCTTCTGAGAAGTCTGAAACTTGTAAAGCTACACAACTGAAATGGACAAACAACCATGGAGAACGCTTCTGAAAGTTGACATGAGTCTTCTGGAGAATGCTAATGGCAAACCACAAAGCACACGTTCGACCCCATTCACCCGGTTCGACCCCACTCAATGCGATCAGCTCCCCACGCTAACTCTTCTGGCAAGGGCCACCGTAGGTCTTCTGGCCTAAAAAGCGAATGCGATAGGCCCTTCATACCATTTCATACCTATGAGCGGTAGAGGAAGCAAGTCTTTGAACTGTCATGACGTCATCACAAACACAACATAGCACGAATACACTCTTTCCCGCATCACAGTCAGAACCCAGCCTCAAGCCAGACCGTCCCTGAGTGTCGTCACAGCCTCACAAGGTATCAAATCTTCCAGAGATCTCCAGAGTGACGTGTCTATGAACCGATGCAGTCCATGGCTTCTACTAACTACTGCTTGAAGTCATCTGAAGCCTCAACTCGAATTCCCACACATGAATGTACATAAGCCATCCAAGGCTCCAATTTCTTGGGGTAGGTGGAAATTTGGAGGGAGCACCCTTCGCCTTTGCCAAGCCACCATTGCTACAGGCGTAGAGTGGGCCGCCAGGCTGGCCAGCGAATGGCCGTAGCCTTGAGAATGAAAGTCATCAATTGAATTGGAGCTCATTGAATGGGATCCACGTGGTGCGACTCAAGTAAAAACTTGCCAGGTAGAGGCCGACTATATAGCTAGCCAACAAACAGACAGATCTGAGGACCAAACCATTCAACATCGCAGGTACTGCCTTAGTGCAAAGTCCTCAAAAAGCCATCTCATCAATCCTGTCCCAGAGTTCAAGAAACCTAGAATGCCATCCCTCCCAATTCCCATCTGGGTATCAGCACCAGCAATACGAGCAACCTGACGTGGCTTTTCGTCGGGTCGATGCCAACTCTTCGGGCCAACAGTGGCCCGCAGAAAACCACAGTGTTCAGATCCGCTTGCCCTGCCTTGGCCCAGTAGCAATCGGTGGAATCCGAAAACCTCAAACACACGGGCTGTCAACTTCCCTTCAGAAGCCTAGTGCCAGCCATAGAGGTTTGAATTGCGCTGTTGAAGTGCCAGCCCGAGGCTTTCATCACAAGCCATCGTGAGGAATACCAAGCCATGGTGAAGGAGTTCTCCATTCGAATCCCTACGCCACCTTGCCAAGACGATGTCTCCAGGAGCGGGACTTCCTGAGTCATCACAGAGTACCAAGGGACAAGTCGAAACATTTGAATTCTGAATGGGCTCTCTATTTACTGTCTAAGAGTAAAATCTGAGGAGTGTCCTCGGATTGCTGGACCATGGGTGACCATGGATCAACTGGAAGTGCATGTTCATGCATGTTCTTCGCCCCACCTTTTTGCTCTCGGCCTTGATTGCGACGTCCCAACCTGGAAAGCATTATCACAACTGGGACAAGTGACTCTCACCGATCCAACGTCAGTGGCATCTCTATTTTTGAGGCCAGGAGCTCACTAGAATCACAGAGTGGCTTGACACCAAGCAGAACTTCTCGGATGGTATATAATCCCCCACTGGGTCAAACGGTTCAACCTTTCGCTGCTCTCCATCTTAACCCACTCTGAGAATCTCACGTGCTGACCAAGCGGACCTAACACAAGGAAAAGAATGTGGCTCACTCAGCGGACCGATTTTTCTCATCTTGAAGAGCTACTTGTGAAACAAGTGAGAGTTACTCAAAATCAGGGCGTATTTACACTGTTGCTTCGCCAAGTCACTGTTGCTTGCCTTGGGCAAACCTCGACCATGGCCAGAATAAAGAGATTGTTCTTCACCAGTTTCTGAAGTCTTCCAATCTGAAAACCCCGGTCATAGCTCTGTGCAAAACAAGCAAGCTGTGCTCCTTTCAATCTTGTGAATGATTTTGGTGCAACCAGGTACCTAAAAACTAAGGTCTGCAATAGCATTTGAGCAAAAGGAAGCAATTCAAATCAACTGATTTGGCCCAAGCATCTGAGAATTCAATCTAAGATCAAGCAACATAGTCGTCAAAAGCAATAAAACACGGCCCACAATACAACTTAGTCGTGCGATGTATCACCTCTTGGCCTTATCAAGCTCAGCTCCGTGTTGAAATCCCCTTGGGGGAGTGTTCTTGTGTGTTGACGAATCTGTTGGAGACGGACGGACAGGGCGGACTTGAAAAAGCACACACTCTTTTGGCCTCTCTCGATCGCTTCCATCGCTATAGATCTCCACACTCTTAAGGATCCCCCCGATGGGATCCCACGCCGCATCCGCTAGGGGAGATCCGGCAGAGTCCCCAAACCAGCTCAATCATTCCGTTTGACCAGAAATCTGTGGAGGGTCTTCCTCTTCATGACTACACCCTGCGGCCGATGCGGTCAGCAAATGGTTCGAACTTGGGAACATGTCAGCAGCACTGTCTTCTAGAGTTGAGATTTCTCCATGTGCTTTGCATCAGCAGCTAAGCCTGCCAAGCAGTTCTGTTTTAACATTTTCCAGTTCCCACTGTTGCTGCCCCGGGAGTGCTCAATCGCTGAGTCTCAAGCTTCCCCTGCCTGCAGCTCAAACACAATAGGGAATCGCTACGTGAGTGTCTCAAACTTGGGTGGTACTTGTAGCAATACCAGGAGCGCCCCTAGTAGCGTTCTTGCTACTAGTAGCGATGCCCTTTGTTACTAGTAGCTTTTTGTTACTAGTAGTAAGGCCAGGAGCTACTAGTAGCGTCCTTGCTCCTAGTAGCGATACATATATATATATATACACTTTAGCTTCATGACATAGAACTCCGTGGCCCTAGGGCAAAGCCTCATGACTTAGCCGCAAAAAAATTAGGTACTTTTCACAACTCCTTTGTCATTTCACCCTAGTATATATGATATGTGATGTGTATATCATGGAAGGGAATGACTTTCTGAACAATGAGGTTTGGTGC